CTCTTAACCCGCACGGCCATCATAGTGACTCCCGTCGAGATGTGCACGAACCCCTTGAAGAAGGAAGGCTATGTTGCCGCGTTCGATGTCGCCCGCACTGAGGTCCAGAAGCGGCTCTTGTATGCTACCGCCGAGGGGCCTGCCAATGTGTGGTGGATGGCCCCGCCGTGTACCAGCTTTTGTGATTGGGGCCTCGAGAACGGGGGAACGCGGTCTTTTCAGTATCCCGTGGGCGGGGCCAACGGTGCTCAGCCGTTGGAGGCGGAGCTTCAGGGCAATCTTTTGAGCAAGGTCACCGCCGAGCTCTTCCTAGGGGCCCTTCGTGGCGGTGCCTTTCCTTTGGTCGAGTCCACGGCCCGTTCTGGCCGATACCCGAAGATGTGGGATCTGCCTTGGTGGCGGGAGATTTTGGCCCGCCCGGATGTGCAATTTGTGGAGTTTCCCATGTGCGCTTTTGGGTTGGGACCTGTGGGCGAGGACGGCTTCTACCACCACAGGACCCGTGTCGTCTTTCGACGGTGTGATGCCTTGGCCTCGGCGCTTTCCCGTCGGTGCCCCGGAGTTGGCCGCGGCTCATCAACATGTTCCCTTACGAGGCTCACGACCAGGTGCAGGGGTGTCGCGTTGTGCCGAGGCCGGCAGCTATGCCCAGGAGTTTGTGCGCACTGTGGTGTCTACTCTTCAACAACATTTGGTTTTGGGGGGGACAAAGACACTTTACTGCCGGGGGTCAGCAAGCCACAGGAGCTTTCGGATCAAGAGGAAACTCGAGCTGGCGGTGATGCTTGCAGGAGTACGACACGGCGGGAGCAGGGCTCCAGCGGTTTGGGCCACTACGCTGGGTGGCTGGATGAGATGGACGGTGAGATCGGCATCCTGGCAAACAACGACCTACCCATCATCGGGATGCTGGGGCCTTGTGACGGCGCCGACGAGGTCGAGGATACAAGAGCAGGCAGCTTGGAGTACCGAGCCCCCACCGCTCGCGCCAAGGAAGAGGCCAGGGAGTACATCGAACTCGCTCGACAAGGGGGCCCAGGCTCGCCGAAAGAGTGGGCCGAGCTATGCCGGAAAGGTGGGGAGCTCGTCAAGGAGGCGGGATCAGTGAAGCTAGCTGCCGAAAGCCTTTGGGAAGTTCGGGAGGAGCAGGGCTGGAATCACCTTTGTGGAGTTGCCAACCCATACCTCGACACCATCTTGCACCCCGACCTTCTGGAGTACCTCCGTGACGTGCGCCAACGCGGTCTGGCAGCTCGCTATGTGGGAAAGCGAGAGCGATGCAGCGCAAAGATCCACCCGAACGGCCGCCGTAACCTGGGCCAGGTGTACCGTCAGATCTGGAAAGATATGGTTAAGCTTCGGGTGTTGGTGGTTCCCTCGAACCTGGAGGAGATGGGGCCTGTGATTTCGAGCCCGTTTGATGCTGTCGACAAGATGCTTCCCGACCGCTCAGTGGCACCGGACAAGAGGATCGTGCATGACCAGAGGGTGATCAACTGCGGCACCGACAAGGAGTGGCATCCCCCCGCCATTCAACCGAAGCACGAGCAGGTGGCTCGGTTGATTCTTCATGCAAAGGCCCATCTGCCAAACACGGAGATTTTGATGAGCAAGAAGGATGTGGCAGGAGCGTTTCGACTGCTGTGGGTGGACCCACACGACGCCGACCTGTTTGCCGGTGATTTGCCGTGGGTGCCTGAGGAGATGGAGAAGGGTGAAGAGACCGCGGAGGGCGTCGACATGACGGTGGTGTACCTCGTGAGCTCCTTTGGGTTTTCCGGGTCGCCGGGCGAATAGACGGTCTGGGGCAAAGCCACTGAGGAGTTTCTTCGTGGGCATCACCCCGCGGTGCCTCGACGAGATCTAAGCTGGGCCTTCCAAAGTCGCATCCTGGTCGACGACAATGTGCTGATCGAGCCGTGGGTGGGCCTTCGGCCGTGGGTCGCAGGCGAAGTCTACGAGGCTGGCGTCACCACCCTCCTTGGCAAGGCCGCTGTGAACCGAGACAAGGACATGATCGAGGGGCCCTTCCGCACGTTCCAGACCGTTTGGGGGTTGGACATGGAGACGGCCTCCGAGGAGATTCACCTTCCAGAGCGGCGCATCCTCAAAGGCGCCAACCTGCTGTGCGAGCCGGCCTTCGAGTACGGGAGCAAAGACATCACGGTTCGGGCCATCCAACGTTTTCGGGGCATCGCCACCGGATGGACGGTCATCGTTCGGGGACTCAAGAACGAGCTGAAGGCGGCGGACCGTTTTCTGGGTTTGGAGCATGATGGGAGTGCCAAGGCGCGCCCAAAGGTTCGGCCGACGAGGAGGAGGCCGAGGGCGTGGCGCGATTTATGGGAGCTCTTCGAGGAGGTTCGGTGGCTTTGCGCCAGGCCCGATACCTGGCCTACCAAGTTCGGTGCGAGTTTGCGTGAGCTCCTTCCAGTCCGAGAGCGCTTGGCACTTGCTGGCGAGTGGGAGGCCGGGACGGTGTTCGTCTCTTCGGACGCAACCAAAACGGTGATCGGCGCCATCGACTGGACCAATGGTTTGGTGATGAGGATGCCGGCGGCGGCGGCGGCATGTTGGGTGCAGAGGTGCTAGGAGCAGGACGAGGTCGCGATCCACGTGGCGGAGATGCTGTCCTTCCTGGCCTTTGCATGTCACGTGGGCCATCTATGGAGTGGCAAAGCGGTTCTCTACGGTGGGGACAATCAGATTGTTCGCAGCTGGATTGGGGAACGCAAGGCAGGAACGGCGGTGGGTCGGCTGTTGGTCCGGATCGTCAACCTTCTCGAAATGCGCTTCAGGTTTGCGCTGATCCCGGCCTGGTGGAGGACGTATCACAACGTGCACGCCGACTATGTCACCCGTTGTACCGAGGGGGAGTTCCAAGAGTTGGTGGAGCACCAGAAGTGGACGATCGTGGACGTACGGGACTCTCTGCGCCAGGCGGCTATCGACTCCGAGCGTTTTGGCCCGTGCTTGCTGGCTTGGGGCGATGAGGACAGGCAGGTCTTGATGCAGCTCAAGGAGAGGCGCCTGAGCAGGTCGGTGCCGCATGCCCTACGTCCCGATTGGAATCAGCTGCGCTTTGTGGAGTTGTGTGGTCCAAGCCGCTTGGTTACCGACTTTGTCGATGCTGTGGAGGCGGCTGGCAGCAAGGCCCGAAGGGCCGCTTTGTGGGGGCCCGTGGAGCCGGGCGAGATCGTGATGACCTCGCTCCCACCGGATGTGCACGGGAAGGTCGTTGAGGCGGTCTTCAAGGCGAGTGTGGATGGCGAGGCGCTGCTGCTTGTGATGGAGGGACCCCGAGGCGTAGCTTGGGATCGTGCATTAACTTTGGCGGAGCGCGCCGGCTGGAGTGCGGAGCTCTGCGAGTATGTGACCACGGAGTTCGGCGAGGTGGCCGCGCGAAGGAGAAGGTGCATCGTGGCGTCGGCCCAAGTCGAGGTGAAGGGAAGCTTTGGCGCTACAACCTGCCGATCGAAGCATCCTGGGGCCCCCCATGAGCGCCAAGTTGAACGCCACCCGGAACGTGGCTAGCGACTGCTGGATCAAGCCGGAGAAGATCATCGTTGACGCTGGAGTGCCTCGGGAACCCCTGCTCCCAGTCATCAAGGGACACTTCTGGGAGAATGGGGCAAGGGCAAACTTGGTGAGCACTGGCGGGCCGCTGCGGTGGCCACTTCGAGACGATCGAGGGGTGCAAGAGAGCGTAGTCTGGGACCCCAGATAATGCCCAGCAACCGTGCGCCGTTTGACGCCGGAGGAGGTGTGGGCGTGCCAAGGCCGGTCCATGGAGCACTGGGGCCAGCTTGTGGAGGAAGGGGTCGAGCCCGATACCATCTTGATTGAGGGGGCGCGGGCTACCGGTGCCCAGACTGCTTCAGCGCTGTCGCTCATGGCTGCTTATTTGTGTGGAGCAAGCACGCGCGCCGGTGCCGCCTGGGACAGTGTCGATGATGCCAACATGACAAAGTTGCTGCGATGGCTACGCCAATGGAAACGAGGGCTCTTCCCTCGAGCGGATGAGGAGTCAATGGGTCGCCGAGCAGGTGGAGGCAACGACGAGGACGAGGAAGCCGGGCGGTGCGAAGAACTACTTGCGGCACAAAGCCCCCCTCTTCTACCCGAGGGACCTGTCCTTCCTCTTCCTACAGAGGCCCATCATGTACACGATCCAGAACTACGAGCCGGGCAAGTGTGGCACTGGGGGGAAGCACTTTGGCTGTCCGATTCCAGCGATGCCGAGGGCGAGGGGGACGACCTACGCAGTGCCCGACACGCAGCCGGGGCCTCACGACGGCGAAGCGAAAGGGCGACCGTCGCCCAAGGGGAGGCCCAGGTTGCGGACGTCCCAGATCAGGTGAGGCCCTTCAATGGTGATGTGGGGATGTGCGTCGATGAATGGGTCGACGAAAACCTGTGTGGCTACCTCGCCGAGAGCACGACCAAGCAGTACGCGGGTGTCTATGGCAAGTGGAAGGCGTGGGCGCGTCGCCAAGGATGGGCGACGGAGTTTCTCGACAAGTCGGTGGCCACGGAGGAGAACGAGAACAAACTTTTGGGCTTCTTGGGCTACTTGGGGTGGCTTGGGGCCTCTCCGGCCACTTTGAAGCAGGCGGTGTTCGCGATCAAGGATGGACACAAGCGACATGGCCAAGGCGACCCGACGGACAAGATGTTTCGGCTGTGGATGCTCTTGGGCGCCTTGGACAAGCGGACCCCGAAGAAACCCCGGCGACTAGGGGTGACTCCGGAAATGCTCCGGTGGATCACCGCAACCCTCGACACCAAGGAGTGCGGGAGTGCCCAGGAGAAGTTTGATGCTTTGATGCTCAAAGCAGCGGTGCTCATGGCATGGTTCTTTATGCTCCGGGCCAAGGAATACTGCGAGTCCGACGGCGTGGACTATGCCATGGTGCTCCGTGGGGCGGACATCAAGTTCCTCGATAGCGACCCCAAGGAGGGCCGCAAGGGTGTGACGATGCAGTTCCGCAAGACCAAGACGGATCAGGAGGCCTACGGCACGTGCAAGACGATGTATGAGTCACGAGTCCCAGGTTTGTGCGTGGTCGCAGCCCTCCTCGAGTACCAGAACATGGCACCAAGACGTTTTGGGACTGGACCAGAGGCGCTGCAACCTTTGTTTCGATGGTCAGGGGGTCAGATGCTCAAGAGTTGCTGCAGCGAGCGGCACAGGGCATCGGACTCCCCCCGGAGCGCTTTCGATCCCACTCCCTGCGCATCGGCGGGGCCTCAGCACTCTTCCAGGCGACGGGGGAGATCGAGCTGGTGAAGCGTACAGGGAGATGGTCTTCGTCAGCCGTTCAGAGGTACCTACATGACGGTGAAGTCGCCTTGAAAGGCGTTGCATCAAAGATGGCTTCGGTCGAGCAGAAGATCCACTACACATGATGGTGGGGCTTTCGGGCGGATGCCACAGAGTTTTGAAGCTGAAGGTCGATCTTGCGACATTTGGTGCAGCTGACCGCAAAAGGTGTTCCTTCGTGAGCGAGAGGCTGTATCGTTTGTGCACCAAAAGTTGCCCTTTTGCATTAGGCACTCCATGACGACAAGACTGCTATTCTGTGTAGTTCCCTCTTCGATGTATGTTGAAGACAGCACGCTGGAAACATTGCATCGTGCCTTGGCCACAGATCTTCTGCGGCTGCACGTGGAGGGCCTCGAAGTGGCTGGTTAGATTCAGTCTACATGTTATATAGTTGGGGGTTTAGGTTGCCAGGGTTCTACAGCTAGCATAGGTTTAAGGCTAAGGTCCGGAACTTGTTAGGTTTAGGAAAGTTTAGGGCCTTTGTGCAATATTGTATAGCCGAGGTTCCGACTGGAAATGGATGCAAAAGGATTAAGTTTACTTGCATATATCTCAAGGGTGACTGGCCCTACCTTCGTAAAAGTATGTTGTTGCGGACCGGGTTCACCAGCAATCGAGTGTGTCACCTGTGTCGGGGTGATGATGCTTGGCGACTTTATCTTAAGGAGGGCTTCTATGCTGGATACTAGGAGCTGTAGGTAGGCCTTTTTGGTATAGTTGTGGGAGCTAAACAGGACTGCAAGGTTTATATATTTCAGAGCAGCACTATACTTAGGATTGGTTCGATGTTGGCCCCAATGGATCTACGAGAAAACTGAGCAAGGACGATGCAATCCCAGACCCATATTGGCCCCGCAAATATTCTTATTTACGAGGGCTGCCGTGGGCAGTCACACCCAGGTTCATCAAACCAGACTTGGCACACACCACGGCAATAGCAGGCTGGGGCAAACAGTTTGTGGATCCGCTACTATCCTGCTTCTTCGGTTGGGAATATTTGGTCCTGGGAGAATACCAGACATCTTGGACTCCGCATACAGCCGATTTCGTGCTTGGTGCAAGCAGAACAAGAAATCTACGAGCATCACTGATTTTTCCTTGGGTACTTTCAAGGTGACATCGTGCCTTTGGACCAAGCCAGTAAACCCATCGTACCCCGTTTAAGCACCCCGGGAAGTTGATCCTATATCCTATTCCTATTATACCCTCTACAACCCAGGCTGCAACAATTCCCACATGGAATGGGAAAGGGCCACGATTGTGCCCTGCTGGGGTCCTGGCTCCTGGAAGAATGCAATGCAGTTGATGAGACCTCACTGGCTGCACGCTTTGGTTTCAGCAGAAGCTCATAGGTGCTAGTGGTTATTGGGGTTTAGGATTGAGGGTTTAGGGTATGTGTCGTCGTCCCACAGTTTTCTTCTGATCTCGAGGATGTGCAGTATCAGCAGATGTTCAAACTTTTGCGGTGGACGGCTGAAGCTATGAATGTTCACTTCCGGATACTCTACTCTGCTGGTATCTGGGTATACGGTGCGCAAGCACGACAGGCCATCCACACCGGGTTCTGTATGCTTGAGCTTTCACTGCATCAGCAAAGTTTGTTGGGCACCGTTAATGTGGCTTGGGCTGTCTGGGTGCTGTCTACAGTCTGGGTGATGTCTACAACCAAGGAAGGCTTCGGAATGCTTGCGGCGGAGGCCACCAGAACACATGGCTGGGCTTTGTTTCGGGTGCAACCCAAGCTGCACATGGCCCTTCACATCGTGATGCTAGCCGTCGAAGAAACAAATGTTAGCATTTTTTAAACTCGAATGTACCCCAATCATACATAATCCTCCGTCCCTTATCGAGTCAATCCTAAAGGATCGAAATGAAGCACAACCTGGAAGCTTCTGGGGGATTGTATGCATTGAACCCGCTTTGCAACTTGATTGCAGATGATGAACATTCCTCGATCGATATGTATGCTCTCTCCTCGTTTGTATGAACTCGGGTACTTGCACCTGGAGTGATGAAGACTTCATAGGACGTATCTGTCGCTGTGCTCGCAAGCAGCACCCTTTTACTGTGTGCCTTCAGACGCTGAAGCGCTCGCTTATGGCATACAGAGAGCAGTTCCGCAAAGCGGGAATTTGAAATGTCGTGCTGGGGCCCCCGGCAGCTGCGGTACCGCATCGGTGGCCAAAAGGATCAGGATCAGCTGCAGCTGTGATTTTGGTGTGTGTGTGTGCCGATACATACAAGCCCCCCAGCACACTCCCCCGTGCACTTTTCCATAATAACGAGCGATTTATCCATGCCCGAGCACTTCCCTAGGACTTGTCACCGAAATCTTTCGATACAGAATTAAAGATAGCAAACGGCAGTACAGGTTGAATAAATCATCATAAAACCAACTGCTTGGCCTCGAATCTGATTCCGAGGAGCGGGTACTGTCCGTATGAGATGCGCTTCTCGGCCATGACCGTTAGCGTCGCGGAGGCCGACAGAGTGCTTGTCTGATGGGCGATGATGGTGCAAGAAATGCTGAAAGCCTGTCGCAACCAGCACTGGACGGAAGGATGCGCGGGATCCAATGCACCAGAAAAAAAAGCTATTAGAACCCGCCTCGAGGAGGCTGCCGCCCACCTGGCCAACCGCCGGAGCGATCTGTAAACTGCCCGTGGCCTGTGCTCAGCTGCAACAGATTTCAAAGCCCTGCTCTGCTATTCTTCTGGTTGCACCTCGTGGCAATAAGGATAAAAGCTAACAGCACTTTACAGCATCACATGGATAAGTGTCGCCATCGATAGCCAGGCCGTGCTCCAAGAGCTTGCAGTCCTCATTGATGGTGTAGTTGATGGCAGTCCGTGGAACTGGGAAACCAGTGATCGAGGTTGCATAAAGCACTGTCGGCGCAACATAATAGGTGAAGGGCGTGGCGGCCCGCTGTCCACCACCGCACTCGCAGCAAGCTTGGTTGGAAGAGAGACCATAGTACGCGGTGTTACTACAGACTGCTTGGATACAGTTCTCGCCGTCCAAGTTCGTCCAGCCTGGAGTGTCCACGCAGGCCTCACAACGCCCTTCGCCGGCAACTTCCACAAAGCCGGGAGAACACTGAGCACAGCTGCTGCCATCGAGCTGGAAGCATCCTGGCCCAGCGGAGCAGTCAACCCTTTGCCCCACCAGTGCCCACAACTACATGCGGCAAACTTGTAACCGTGGGGGATTTTAGGCAGGTTGTGCATGGTTGTGCAGTTGGCGTTGGCGAACAACTGTTCCTGTTCCAAGCTCGGTACTTAAAACAGAAGTTTCCGGACTTCACACCGGAGGCTATGCAAAAGCAACAAAGTCTCCGGACATCGGACAAGGACGAGTCGCCCAACCTGTTCCGAACTTGTCTTCACCTGCGCTGGCGAATTCCAAAACTCAAACCCGACATGACCTTAGCCCTGTCCTGCGCAGTAGAGGGCGGCTTCGGGGCAACAAGCGTACTTTCCCGTGCTTAAGTCGAAGATTGGGAAGCCGGACGGGCAGGTCTCTTCCACGTGGGACATCTGCCTCGAATCCGCCCGTGCTGTCTGCGCCAACGTCCGGGGCACCAGGCAGGTCTCGAACAACTCCTCTGAAGGTACGGGCACCAAGCCTAGATGTAAACTGGAAGGGGTTCTGCAAACACCTCAGCTGAAGCCCGTAGGAAAACCAAAACAGCGAAAATCGGTAGTCCTCATTTCGAGGCTTGCTTCGTCTGTTTTCCTTGGCCTGTACATGGTGCACTGGGTCTTTATGCGGGGTCGAGTTGTTCAGGGCTTCGACTTGCACAGCTGGGACAAGTCATGCAAGATTCAAGCAAACGACTGAGTAGATGTTACACTTCGGTTCCCTGTGACTGCATCTTGAGAGAGCAGCACTATCGATCGTTCTGGGCACGCCGAGTGCTTGTTCCCATTCTTTGCGGAATTTCCGGGCTCTGTGAAGGATTGACGAGTGAGTGCAAACCAACCCCTTTGCAGACGGAAGAAATATCCTCCGCATAAGCTTAAGGTTGCAGGCTGGTTGATGGTTTCGCTCTGTTTCGCTGGTCGGAGTCCACGGCTTTCGAGCCCGGCCTCAGAGCTCGCAGGTTCGCTTGCTTCCAACAGGTCGAGCTTTCGAAAGGCCGTCTGGATGAACTCCTCCATTTGGTCCTGCGGCTTGGGAAGAGAGACCCACCGAAATTCTGCAGCTTTGTTCTCTCCCTGTCCTCTTGCTCGACATCACTTTGAAGATGCGGAGGCTTTCCTCGCACCTTCTTTTGAAGCAACGCTGTCGGGTCACCACACGAAGTATTCCGCACATCGCCCACAACTGCCAGAACAAGGCAGAAGAGGAGCACTGCGGAGGCCATGGGCATGCCTCTCCGGAGAGTCAGTGGGATTCCCACGTAGACTGCAAGGGCTTCTATCGTCAATTTTTGACCAAGTTTCTACCAATCCCTCTCTTGAGGAAAATCGGCAGTCATGCGCCATCATGCGCCTCCTCGCTTGTGGGCATAAATGCAAGCTGCATGGTACAGTATTCCAATCGGATGACATGCCACGGTTTTGGCTCACGCAATGACCTCGTGTGGATCAGCGTACTTGAGTAGTGTTGTCGAATTGTGCGTCCGTCCTTGTGACAAGACTTCTGCAACAAAATTGGCATCAGCGTGTTCACTTCAGCCAAACGCTCACCATCGGGATTCCGCCGTAATTCGCATTCGGCCAATCGGTGTCGGATGTGGGCGCATCGTAGCCGTTCCCAGACTGCCAGAAGTCGTCGTAGCGTGTCGAACTAGCTGGCTGAACACCAACGGCCATGCACAGATCACCTCCCCGTGTGAAGCCGATGTCGTTGTACGTAGCTGCTGGGTATGAGCCGCCATGGGACTGCTCTTTCATGATGCCGTAAGTATTCTGCCAGCACGTTTCGCTAGCACCGTTTTGGTCGTAGACCTGCACTTGGTGGCCAGTCGCTGCTCTGATTGTCTGAAAACCTCAGGCGCATTACAAGAGTTCATGTGTTGCGAACCGCACCTGACCTTTACCCGCCTGCTCTGTGGTTCCACCAAGTCGATAGCTGTCGCTCCACATCCATTTCCCACCTGACGGCTTATGCCCAACGATCGCATCGTTGTAGCGCAGATGTGTCAACATGGGAAGTGCAAAGACACGCTGATGTGGAGCGACCGCCTACAATACTACGAGTAGCAGCCGCACGTATAGGTTAGGGGCTGCCTCTAGCAGTAACTAACCCCCTCTCTTTACGAGGTGTGTCCCTAACCCGTAGGGTTACCTATCTAGGGATAAAATAACCGTTATCGGTGGGATAAAATAACAGTTATCAGGGATAAAATGACAGTTATCGCTGGGATAAAATAACAGTTATCGGGGATAAAATAACAGTTATCGGGGGTATAAAATAACAGTTATCGGGGGATAAAATAACAGTTATCGGTAGGATAAAATAACAGTTATCGGTGGTATAAAATAACAGTTATATAGTAATGTATCGTAATATTTAGGGGGCTGAATACTGAAAACTTATCTTATTTCTGTATACCCTGTTCACTGTATACTGTACTGTACACTTAGATGAGAAGCTTGAGACATAGGGTCTGCGACCGGTGTTTGTTCCACCCTTCACGAGTTGGAAATACGAGCTTTGAAGCATCCGAGAATGAGAACAGGGGGCATCGTCGTTGAAATAAAGTCTGGTACATTCGTGGGGGTCCTTAGCCTAGAGGCTACAAGCTGCAATTGTTGCCTAGTGTCGACGAGGCTTTATAGATCCGTGTAGTTGCGCAGGCAGGATTGAGGCATGAACGTGGTTGATTGGGCTTCTTGGGTTTCCCTGACTAGTTCGAAAGAGTATTGCTTCCACCCACCATCGGTAGTAATGCCATTCGAGTTGTCAGATGCTGCTATGGTATCACACATGAACCACGAAGGATGATATGTGTAGAGGTTCCAGAAGGCCCTCAACAAGGCACCAAAAATGCCCCCCAACAGGCCCCCGAACCCTTAGCACTTGCTCCAGGTCCGCGCCCAGCCCCATTTTCCCCCAGGCCCGCCCAGGCCCTCCCCAGGCCCCCC